TAATTTATCTAGGAAAGGTATAAATCACTGCACTTTCTATAACGGAATGTCGCACTTTATAAAACAACAAATTGCACTTTATAAAACAGCACATTGCACTTTTTAAAAATATTAAAATAATAAATATAATTTTATAATTATAAATAATCATTTATTTAAATTATTTAGGCTAATTCTATGTACAATTATATCTACTATTCTAGATTTCAAAAACACATAATTTATTAGTGATCATATAAATTAGTACACTTTATATACGATCGAGTTCCACTTTATATTAAATAGATGTAAATTATATATATATATATATTAAAACTAGTTTTCGGATATATATGATAAACTATAAATTAGTGCAATTTATTAATAAAACAGTGCACTCTATAACAAAAAATGTCGCACTTTATAAACCAACACGTTGCACTTTATAAACACACTCCACAATTAATGTCAACAAATCATGCCAAAATATTACGCAAGATGAATATAAAAAATAGAGCGACATAATACTTTACTATCCATCATATTATATATCAAAATAAATAAATAAATAAACACATCCATGATAACATACTAGTTTATCAAGATCTGCACTTTATATATCAATAAATTGCACTTTATACAACAATATGTTGCACTTCATAACACAACACGTCGCACGTATCAAAATTACAATAATTCTAATAATCGATCGAATAATATTAGTTGGTCAGAATTATTTTTTTTAATACACAAAATAACCGCACACGTCGAAATATACGGAAAAAATATTAACGATTGTTTATTTATTTATGTTTTTATATTAAAATTAATACTATTTTTCATCTATATATATTTTTTTATGTATTGAGATTGCACATTAGGATTATGCAGATTGCACACAATTGTCTATCACATTGCACAAAGACGAACGACATCAAACGAACGTAAATTCGATATGAATTTTTATGCGTTTGTTCTATTATTATTATTGTTGTTATTATTATTATTATTATTATTATTATTATTATTATTATTATTATTATATATGTCGAGTATTTTGATACGATATCATTTTTTTAGGTTTTAAAAATTACTAATACTATATTTGTATTTATTAAATTCTTAATAATTTAGTATAAATATTTATATCACTAATTAATTGATGTTATAACTAAAGTTTTACAAAAATTACAAAAAGTCCCTAACATTAATCTAATTTACATTAAAACTAACCCCTAATCTCACACAAATCAACCAGCTTCACCCTGCCAATTCACCGAAAATTGATCACATAATCATAATGAGAATTCACCTACAATTCACCCAAAATTGTTCACAGAAACAGAATGAAACTCACATAAAATCGTTCACAGAATCAGAATCATTCAAGTCTAGTTCACTCTAAATCAAAATTAACCAGAATCACGATGCAATTCCTCAACCCCCAAGACGTTTTCGGCCGCCACCTCCCATCTCCTGTTCAGATCTCTGCGAGCTCGTCCTGTTCAGATCTCTGGCGAGCTCGTCCCGTTCAGGTCGCCGTCCCCGTCTCTACTATTCCCGACTCATCTTCTTCTGCAACTCGTCTGCAACACACAAATCTTCTCTACAGAGGAGGCGGATGGCGAAGACGAGGCGAGGTTGTTGTTGCTGGGCGAATGAGGCGAAACGGCGGAATGGTGGTTGAAAGGAGGAGGCGATGTGGAGGTCGTCGACGGCGGCGATTGTGGTAGCCGTCGACGTGAGCCCCTTCTCCGTGAGATCTGGGCGAGTTGTCGGACTTGACGATTGGTGGCAGCAGCGGGTCTGACGACGACGGAGACTTGACGGCGGGCTCGTTACGGTGGCGTTGGCGTGCCGGAATCAGCGAATTGTGGCCGGCCTGTGGTGAGCTGCCGACGGCGTCGGGAGAGAAGACAAATCAGTAGGAAGGGAGAAAGACGAGAGAGGAGAAAAGAGAGGGAAGAGATTTATTGTTGGAGAATTATGGGTGAGACCCACTTAATTTATTATCTTGTGAAATTGCATCACTACCCTCTAAGACTTTTATTTGTCCATGAGATATTAATATATTTATAGTTTTGCCACTAGGTTTGACCAGTTATAATTTAATTTGACTTTATCATCACCTGAAAGAAATGAGAATTAATTTAGGCCATTTGATTTGTTTTTCCAATGGTTAAGATGAGATCAACTATTAGTCACTGCAGTAGCATTTTAGTAAATACTTGTGATATTAATGGTAAAGGATATTGAAGACTAAGGGCAATTAAGTATTTTTAACTTTTAGTGGTCCTTACCATTAAGGCATTAACATAATTAATTCATCCACCAACACCTTCCCCCCAACCCGTCACACACACTGCACGGTGCACGCCGTCGGCCGTCCGCTCACGTCGCCACCGATGGCCGCAAGCTCTGCTAGTCGCCGCCAGTCGACGCCATAAGATCGACACATCTCTGACCTTCCGACATCTTCTCTATAAACCGTTGTCGCCATTATCTCCGACGCCGACGCCGGCGCTTTAGCTTCAGTCCAGTCGTTGCCGCCATTATCTCCTACTGCCCGTCGTCGTCTCCATAACCCGGTCGTCTTCTCCATAACCCGCCGCCGCTATCATCTCCGACGGTCTCTGCATCCAACATTTGAACCACGCCGGCAGACGGAGGCGAGATGACGCGGCGGCGGGCGGGGCGAGACGTCGAGCAGGCTGACAGAGACGATGCAACTCGGCGGCAGACGAATGCGAGTCGACTTGGCGGCGGATGGAAGCGAGATGTCTCAACGCAGACAGAGGTCGACCCAATCTATCTCCTTGGCCTTCTCGTTCCTGCAGATTTGGGGTCCGGCGGCGACTGCTTGCGTGTGAGTCGAGGACGAAGTACGGCGACTGAAAGGACGGCGGGGAAAAAAAAAATAATGGCGGCGGAGTTCATCTCAACCAGATCTTGAGAAATTGAGTTTGGGTATTTTTTTGAAAATTAGATAATCTATAGGGGTCATTTTACAATTTTAAAAAACTTTGATTATGAAGCAATATTTATTGATTAATTATATAATTCAGTAAAAATCTAATAAATATAGAATATTGATAAGTAGCTTGTGTTTATTGCGATATAATTTTCAAAAATTTTATTATAGTTAATCTTAATTGATGGTTTAAATATGAAATTTATTAAAAAAAATTAATAATTACAAAATACTATTCAGTCCAGTACATCACTCAATGCACAAACGATACATAACTTGCACGACAACGTGTGGGTATATGCACGTTAAAAATTCCAACAATACTAAAATGCCAATGCATAATTTTGACATTTATAATTTGACATTCTAATATTTTTATTT